CATGACCCATACCCTCACGGATCATTCATTTGCCTGGCCCGGGTCTCGATGATCTCTTCTGTATCGGCGATTGTGGCATGATGTTGGAGGTTGTCCAGAAACGACGAGTGTTCTGAGGTTGTCCCCCTCAAGGACAGTGGAAACCCCACTGCGAAGGAGCTTGTTGCGACTGTGCTTGAAGTGTGGCGTGTGGGCCACTCCTGTGCCTCTCCATTCATCCTTTTGCCGTCCCACGACCATTTGTAGGTCCCCTCGTTCATGCACAGCTTTGCCTTCGTCAACGATAACCTCTTGGAGGCAGATGATGAGGCTTCATTCACATAGAAGGCGAAGGACTTTATCAGGATCTAGTCCCCGACGTTCCATGAGAAAACACGCATGGTGCCGGAGTCGGTGTCCTGGGCTCCGGGGTGACACGGGTCGTCCTCGTCTCCGTTGAGCGCCGCCTTGAGTTGGTCCCACCGGTTCGGTGAGTCCCGTCAGCGACATCCCCAGCTGTCGACAAGTGTGCCAAGGCTGATCCAACCAGCTCCGACGGGGCTGGTGACTGCTGACGAAATTTTCGCCCCGCCGTACCAGACGTTCCTGGTACCGAACTCGACCTGGATGAGGTTCTTGTCCCCCATGCTCTCGAGAATCAATCGCTTGACTTTCCCTGCGAGTTGGGCTCCTTTACGCCGTTACGGGCTCTCACTCATGGCTGCCCAGAAGATGCGGTTGCCGTCCCCCGTGACGACTTTGGCCTCCCTGATCTGCTTGAGGGCGGTGCGGATTCTCCCCCTGAAGCCCGCTCGCGGAGCGATAGGGATAATGGCGAAGCCTCTGCGAAGACCAACGACAAAAGCTTCCTCAACGTCAAGGTCGATGTGAAGGTCGTTAATGTGGCCCTTGACTAGACGCAGAATTTCTTCTGCGTCCTGGTCTGCGTCCCATCCCCCTGCGACTATGGCGGGGCGCGGGGCATGGTCTCCCCCGCCTTCTGAAGTTCTTGTACTAGACGCTGTAAAGGAGGCTGCAGCGAATTTCCCCTCCAGCAATTCAAGACGTCGTCGATTTTTTTCTGTAGCTGCGGCAGCCTGCTTAACCGTTCCCTCCATGTGGCAATGTCTATCAGTCATGGCATCGAGGAGGTTGGTGGTTCTTTTTACATGCTCTTCCATATTGGCCTCGACCTGTGCAACACGTGTCCCCAGACTAGTCAGACTGCCATCGATAGAGGCATGAATGGTACTCGTGATCTGCTGCTGAGACACTTGCAGAGCCTGCTGGAGGAGGGCCAGAGTGAGGGGCTGGTCCCCCGGTGAGGTCTCTGCCTCTTGGTGGTCACCTTCTTCACGGGCTCGTTTTGGCGAGGCTTGAGCTTCCCCGCTCGGGCTGGAAAATTTCATGGTTGGGCTTCCCCCGGTCGTAGAATTCATTCTTGATGGAGTCGTTCTAGTAGCACGATGCACAACAGCAATGGGCTTTACGACCCCGACTCAATGTCCCGGATCGTTCCCCCGAGGAGCGGGAAGCAAAGTGCCGCCGATCTCTCTCAGGTTGTTGATGCTAGAGTCCCCCGCACGCCTCGGCGAGCGATCTCCTCGGGCTGCCTTCTTTACCACCTTTGCGTGGTGGACCCGCACGAGGAAGAACGCAATCTTGCCCCCTTCTCGTTGTGAAATCGCGGCAGAGTCCTCCTGTCAAGAAACCCTTTCTAGGCAGGCGCCCCGGTTGAGAGGCGCCTGCTAAGCCAGAGGAGGAGAAGATAGAGGAAGAACAAGAGGAGGGGCAGGACGGCCTCGACCCTCTTGAACCGCTCACGGCTTGAGCCAAAATGGCTATCTCTCTCTCTCTCTCCAGGGCATGGGGATGGGTCAATGGCTATCTCTCTTCTTCGCCACGGCATGGGAGGCGGTTTAAGCCCCCCGGCCACNNTGGGGCTTTGAGGAGGCGTGAGAACAAGGGTTACGTGTTTCCCCGGGGATTATCTTTTAAGGACAGGAGTACGGGTAAGTGATAAGTGAGTAAGTATAGTTAGTAAGTATTTTCCCCCGGGCTTACACGTTTCCAGTGCGGCTTTGGGACGCCTTTTCGGAACTGATGTGTGCATTCTGACAAGGCCCCCTAGGCTATCTCTCTCTCTCTCTCTCTCCTCTCCACAAGATGCTGTTCGTTTCCATGATCCAACCTGATCACAAAAAGCTGGCAGCACTCCAAGCACTTCCCAGCCGGTCTGGCAGGCTTCAAAATTATATGCAGTCAACAGCATGCAGACATGTGTAGACTCCAAACTCCCCAGACCATTTTGCAGCACAGTTGCTTCCATCTGAGCTACTTCAGCTAGGAGCTGCTTCGTCAAGACAGATTTGCCTGTTCCGCCATCACCGAGAACAACGGTCCGACCGCAGAAATGCCTCGCGAAAGAACGATTGCATCAGGCACTTGAAGGTTCCAGAGCTTGCAGCTTCAACCAGACAAGTCGGCCGAAGATGTTGCAAAAACAACGTGTTGCCATGTTTCCAAGCCCAGCGACTCCAGGTGCAGCAAATCTGGCGCAAATGTCTTGTACACCTTCGCGAGCTTCTTCCACAGAATCTTGGCCTTTCGGTGTGAGTGAAGGGATGTACAGTGTCATGGCATTTGTTTCGGTCGCTCGTCAACTGAGCCGCTCGTTGCAGAACGCTTGCCTTGTCCTAGAGTGGATGACACATGGATTCATGACTGTTCGGGTTTCAGCATTGCCGGACCTTCTCGGGGAGAAGCACCAATCGAGTTTTCAGCGAACCAATGAATTTTATCGACAGCCTGGGATGGCACTCGATGACCCTATCTCCTACTTGAAGCTAAGGAATCCTCTGAGACAAGGAGCTCCGTGCAGCTCTCCATGACATTGACTTTTTCACGTGTCAAAATATCCGTGGTCCATGCCTCCGATGCACCGGCCTGCGCGCAGTACGTCTGAAACTCGAGCTCAAACCTCGGCTCGGCGAGGATGCTTCCCCGAAGCTTGAGCCAGAGGCGTTCAGCTTCGACTTCGGCTGCCACGGTATCTGCAGGTCAGAGGCCCCGGCTCATAAGCTGGAACAGCAATCCTGGAAATAGATTTGCAGAAAAGGTTCTCCACTGAACGATGAGATGACTGTGTGACCTCCACTACTCCAAATTCTTGCTCGTGAGGACCTCACCTTTCCGTCGCCACAGATGTACTTAATCGCCGACCTTTCTGTCCTTCCCACATGTCCAGTGCTGCCTGTCGAGACAGCATGTTCGGTTCGACCACGGCAACGGTTTCTCTCTGAAACTCCTGGCTACAGCAAGCGCGCAAGCATGCAAACCCAGACTCACCCAGCATTTCCTTAACCCCCTCCACTCTCTCGACTTGCCAGAGTTCCGTGCAACGACCTGCGCTTCCTGTGCAAGCGCCCTTCCCCGTCCCACTCCTTCGACCCAGTGATCTGAGCTCAGCCTGTCCTCGCGACGGCCCTCTGTCAATCCTTCTGCACTTCCCTCATGTGCGGCTAGCCCGAGGTTCTGAACAGGAGGCACGCCTTCCTGCAGCCCCAACCTGACGAACTGCCCAACAACTCTATGAAACGAAGCGAGCAGAAGGTTCTCGACGTCATCGACATTGAGGTTCTCCTCGCGTCTCTTTTCCCAAACACTTCCGTTTGTTGCTCGACCGGACAGAAGCCTTTCGTTCCCTCTTACGCTCAACTGAGCGGATGCCTATTGCAGCCTCTGTTGCCTTATTGATCCTTCCTTCTTGTGATCACGACATGGTCAGGTGGGCTCCCGCATTCCTCCCATGCCCCCATGCCTTCCAATGCTCCGTAACAAATGGGCGGTCTGGCTGAAGCTCAAGCTCCGGGCCTGTACCCACGTTGAAGCCGTTGGTCCAATGTCTTCGCCCATCTGCCGAAGGAGGCGCTGGACACCGGCGATCGCAAAATACCTCACTCAGAGAAGGCAACTGGCTCAATGATGCATGAAGTCACCACCACCACCACCACCACCACCACCACCACCCACTACCACCACCACCACGGCCAACACCACGACCACGACTACGACCACTCCCACTACTACGACCACGACCACGACCACCACCACGACTACTCCTCCTCCTCTTTGATCCGCCCACCCCACTGTGCGACGGCGGTTGATCAAAGTTCTTTCTTAACCTTGCCTTTTTAAGCACAAGGCGATGGCCGTTGATGCTCAGTAGCTTTTGCCAACCGGCTCACACGCCGCCCGCACACCCTTTTTTGGCATCTTCTCGTTCTTGCTGCTTCGACATTTTGCTCTAGAGCATGCGTTTTCCTCGGGTTATTGAACGTTTCTTCTCTTCCTTTTTTTCGTTCTTGCTCGTTTGTTGATTTTGGTTTGCGCTGCGAATTTGTTCTTTTTGGGTCCAAAACTCGAAGTTTTGCTGTTTTTGAGCGCGTTTTATGCCGGAAGGGCAGTTTTTACTGCAGTACTACGAGTGGTTCGCCTTTTTTTCTTGCCGTTTCTATGCAGAGGTCGTTATGGCTCACTCCGTTTTCCCGCAAAGCATCCATGTGGCAACCATGTTAACGTCCACAAAAACTCCGTCCGTTTTTGCAGAGCATCC